ACAGCACAGGTTATTTCACTTTCCACTCATTATAGATTATGTGTAGATATATATATATAGTTTTTTTATGTGTATTGGATGAGCTCACATATATCATAAAGGATCAATTCCACATTATAAGCTTTCATTTTTGCTCAATTTTAAAGTTGTAGTTATAAGCCAACTTTTATGGTTTATGTTATTTAGATAGACTACAATGTTTGAAATCATTATAATTTTAATGATCTTATAATCCATATTTTTTAGAAGCTGGATCATATATATGCTTAGAGACATTTTTCTAAATGCTCATAATAAATTTAGATTAAAATTGTAAGATATTTCCCCCTAGTTAATATAATATGTTAATAGTATATATATGTTTAGATATAACTTCTTGGCTTTTATATTTACTTTGAATGCTTGAGTCACTCTGAATGCAATCATTTACTCATAACACACGGCATTAAAATATCTGGATATCTTCTGTATAGCCAACAGGTAAGTGCAAAGTCTGTCCCGCCTGTCACAAAATTTGCCCTATCAAAAATGTCCTGCCTGTCACATTCACTTATCCTTAGTATCACTTTCACTAGTGAGTCAATATATTCATTAATCTACAAAAATTTATTTATTTAGGTCTAAACGGCTTAGTATATATGCTTGTCCTTAAATGTGGATTGAAAGAAAAGGTACAAAATCTGAGGTAGGCTTTAGCCTAAACAAGTTAAATGGTTGTACATTTTAGAAAAATGTGGAACTGTTGGACATGCAGTATAATCCCCTGCTCTCATCAAGTGTTGGAACTGGAAAAACCTGGCTTCAGGCACTAGGAGCAAAAAATACATAAAAACTTTGCAGCGTGGTATTTTTTCACCCAGGCAACGTGGCGGTTATCTCTCCACACGCTGGGAGGCCTCAGTTCGATATCAGCTATTTCTATGACGAATCAAAGTCATTCGGGATGTTTACCAACATTCTGCAAGATGCCCATCAACTGTTCATATTCAATTTGCTTCTTGTGTGATTAAATATTGATCATGTACGACCACGATATGCGTTATAAGTATTTTTAATTCAGCGTGATTTATATCTGATTACATATACATGTACACAGTATAAACGTTTAGACATCACTCAACAGTGCAATGTACATCATAGTGCAAACAACTATAAGCTAAACTTTCAACGAACATTTTCGGCAACTACCTCCTCAAATAGGTTACATGTAAACTTTTCCCTTCGTCTCGGAGGACAGACGCTGCACCTTGCATCATGCGCCATATGGCTCATGATTATAAGGGACCAGCTGTGAAGCCTAGCCGTGTTGAGCTTACTAGCAGATGGTCAGCACGCGATTTCTCGTATTAGAACCTAGTCTGTCGTTCACTCTCAGGGTAGAGAAGCATGTGTACCTCTCTATGCCTGCTTTATGGCGTATATCGAAAACGTGACGTACGTATTTGTAATAATTTCAAGCACCGAAAATCGGCATATTTTTGTCTACGAAGACATGTGCACGACGCATGCAGTTTCATGTAGTTATCACAAACATGCGCAATGGTCTCTTTACATGTTTGATAAACATCTGTTTTTGTTGGATCCGTATAGTAGTACCCATGTTGCACGGTCTAGTTACCATTCCCCAGCACACAGATATCAAGAGTAAAACTAGTAACTCGGCTAGAAAGCGGGTTTCAATGACTGAACAAATACACCAGCAGCGCATGCACACATACAAACAGGAGTCTATCAATATTGATAGACTATTGATAGATAGGATAGATCTATTGATAGACTCCTGATACAAACATATCTACTGATCAATGCGTTCATGCACCCATATACAGACAAATGGACGCACGCACGCACACGCGCAGACGTACATGTGCATGTACACATACACACGCACGAACACACGCCGCGCATGCACGCACATGCAGCTACGCTCAGTATATCCTCTTGGTAACCCATGACATGTTGTAATAACATGACGATGACGTAAGGTCACGTACCGACTACTAGTATCTGGCAGATATTGCGAAGCTAGTCTGTAACACCAAATAATGAGCAACGAAACGGACAGCTTTCAGTCTCACTCAGATCATGATATTTTTAAGCTATACTCAGCTGCAATGCAAAAAAAACGAATAAATTCAAGGAAATACATTTCCCTCCTAAGAAATTTATTATTAAATGCCAACACAAATTGACCAGTATATTTCCCCCACTTTTCTTTCCTTTATCCATTTTGTTGGTGTCAAGGATAAAACATACAGCATGCATACAAAATCCAGATACATGTTGTAATTCTGCGTTATTAGGCTTTACAAATGTTGTAATGGATATGTTACACTTACAGTAACTTGCTTTGCTACTTATATGTAGTTGTTCACTTCCTGTGGGTGTGTAGTGATCGTACGAAACAGGATTTTGTATCACAGGATGTGCATAAACACACAATTGAGCTTATTTACGCAGATAAGGTCTATGTCTCCCTGGGTACTGCCGGAACGTACCCTGGTAACTATCTGATATGGTTAGGGTTAGGGTTAGGGTTAGGGTTAGGGTTAGTCAGAAATAGCTAAACGAGCCAGGTCAAACAGAGGTCAGGGAGACATAGACCCTACGGGCCTTATTTACCAGTTTAGGTCACGGACACAGAACCTATATGGTAACACCATCCACGGTTAGACACACATTATTCGCTAGCAACCAGGCCTTGGATAGTGTTTCTTACGTACATCAACAGCTTTTCATGGCTTCATTCTGCAATAACCACAAGGCGCAAATTTTGCCTCTATTGCCAGCTATATATAGGTGTGTGCGCCGCACATGACATTCATTACTACACACATCCCAGCTGCAGCAGCAGCAACGATACAGTACAGCGTAGTGTGTGACATGGCTTCTCAGCTTCAGGGGTTGACGGCCATGGCATTTCAGCTTATACAGATGCAGGCACATGAAAATACATGTAGGAGTTTGCGCCTATGGCCTAATTCAGTGTAATGCTTAAAAAATGTCAGATCTCAACGTGTGTGTTCGTGTGCGTGTGCGTGTGTGTGTGTGAGTGCGTGCGTGTGTGTGTGCATGTGTGTGTGTATGGGTGCGTGCACGCATTCGTGCGTGTGTGCGTGTGCGTGTGCGTGTGCGTATGCGTGTGTGCGTGCGTATGCGTGTGTGCGTGCGTATGCGTGTGTGCGTGCACATTTCGGTATCAGTACGCATGCTGAGTGCCCACTGGGTGGAAGACGAAGGCATTTGGTAGGAATCACCTGGCTAGAGCTGGGGGTTGAATGAAAAAAAAACTGAGCTTGACAATAGCTACATCAGAGAAAACACCAAGTGCAATTAGATATATGCTGACTAGTTCGAAGACTAGCAAGGCTTAACAATACACGTACGATGACAGGTCACATCCTCTCATCCGTTGCTTCCACCCCTGCCCTATGCCACAGTCTTACGCTCCAGCACGTACTACTAACTAGAATCGTCTGCACGTGTGTTCATCAGCTGTACTATGCAGCTTCGGGCTGTCCACATGTACACAAACGTTACTGAAGCCCAATGGTTTCTTTTCTAAACTTAGCATATCAACTGGGCTGGTCTTCTTTAGTTTTCAAACTAAAATCGGTACAAATAAAATATAAAGATATATAGCTATACCAGGGGCATAGGTATATCAAACGGAAGATACACATTCAGTGGAGAAATAACTGCTTAAAATATTTATTTACTATTTTACTATTACAAAGTGCATTATATAGTAACATGTAAGTTGTAACATGAAGACAAGGCGAGTTCATTAATATCTGTGATGAACAGCACTTCTGAGTTTCTAACATATACTGCAGGCAATGTTTTGTGATATCATCATGTAAAAACTTGAAGGTGTTGATAATAATGCTTGGTTTTTCACTACTAGTACAAGAAGCTTTTCTTGTTATGCGTTGAAATTTGCTGCAGTAATGAGGAGAGCTAAGACAATTCTACGCATTCATTATGGAAGCACACGCTTCTTAATATGCACTTCTTTGTTAGTCAGTCCCGCTCTTCCTCCTCCTCCTTCTCTTCCTCCTCCTGCTCCACCACTTACTCCTCCTCCTCCTCTTCCTCCTCCTGCTCCGATCTGAGACATAAGGTTGCAAATATCCTCCGCCCCTCGGGTCTGTTTTGTGCGACGGCTTGTGCCTTGCTCAGGGTTTTTTTCCGGGCGTTTAAACGGGAAGAGAGACCGTAACCTTTATGCAGAGACGAGGGTTAAAGAATGCCCAGGGCCCAAACAATTTATGCTATTTGCTGCTGCCTGGGTGTATTTTCAACCTTCTGTGAGGAAGTTGTCTCAAATAATAATACGAAGAATTGTCTAAGTAATATTAAATATTTATTGGAACAAATATACACAATAACAACCAAGATAAATTGTCTGTAATAACTTTTTAATGTATGCCGAAATAGTGCTGCCTGATGCATTCGGAACATGAAGAATTGAGCTTTGTAGGCAAGCTTTTTAGATACGTTAACAGTGGCACAATAAAAAACGTTACAAATCTGTAAATTGATGAGATGTACGAACTTGTGAGAAACCATGCAAACAGTTCAAAACCAAATACAAAACCAGAATAGGTCACATGCTTACTTTTACATGGAGAGCTGCTTGGTAAGCAGTCTATGTGCAAATTTATGCTAGCAAACTTCCTAGCATTGTTCCTAGCATAGTGTAGTAGCACTAGCTTTGTGTGCTTGTGGCAAATTGTGTCTGCACAACAGAATATATCTGGATGTTTCTTTCATATTTGTATTACATGTATAACACATTTTTATACAATTTATTCAATTATACCTACTATAAATTTAGTTAGCAGCTTCACCAGCAGTCTAAGAGTTAGAGAGGAGTACGGTAAGAGTGCAAAGACACAACTGTCTATTTCTGCACAAGGTTCGGCTTCAGTGGATGTGTCCCAAGAATAGTTTATATTTCAAGATTCACAATGGCGCATTCTAGTGCAGCTCTGCGGCATTATTTTTATAAACCCAACACCAATATAAAATTAAACGTGTCGTAGCAATAAAAATTGTTCAATATCATTCTGTATCAGGGTGGCATAATATAACCTTATCTCTAATGATGTGTACACATGTATGCGTAGTAATACTGTGGTACAAGATATAGTGGTACAAGGATAGAGAGCATGGCGAGATTGACAACTATGTAGCGTAACACATCGGCTTTTCTCTCACAACCATGCTCTCTATCCTTAAGCTGATATAGTTGTATCATATACTAGTAAGTAGTAACTAGGAAGTGGGCCCCAACACATTTCTCCAGAGCCACACTAACAGTAACCATAACATGATCCAGTAACACCCGGTACAGCATTACGAGAATGAGCTTTGAGACTTACGACTTCTAGAATCTTGAATCTGCATACAGTCTTATGACCGAGATATAGCTCCAAGAAACGGTATTGCTAGGGTTAGAATACCTATACCATCCGTCGCACAGCCTGGTCGGGCTAACCGAGATAGTGATACTGTTAGTGACATTGATAGTACAGTACCCTAACTCTAACCCTAACCCTAACCATAACCCTAACCATAACCCTAACCCATTATATTGATGTAATATTATATTTATATTGATGTAAATTACATTGGTTTTATTGGGACCCATGTTCTCTATCCTTGAACCGATAAAATCGTGAGCTGTGGAAGTCAATTACCTGGTGTAATGCAGTGAGTCCATCCACATTCGTCGTGTTAATATCTGCTCTGCGATTGAGAAGGGCCGTCACTTCTTCGATATCTCCAGAGCTGCACGCTGCTAGGAAAACACAGCCATCGTGAAATTTGATTTTTGGCGTCTTTCTTCTTAGCTGTGTTGGTTCCTTGGCTGTGACAGAAGTATCCCATTGAACTAGCTGCGAGTGCCGCATATAAAGAGCGTTGCTGGAGCGGCACACATCTTTTCTCTCTGCCATCACTACGCCGAATGTCAACTAAAACTGCTTTCCATTGGCGTTATGGTGAATGACATAGATTTCAGAGTTGCAGATTTATTGCAGAATGCACTGGATTGCCGCCTGCTGATCGCGAAGTCGTCGGTTTGTGTACAATGAGGGTTCCTCACCGCCAGCTAGCGCTGCTAACGACAAACAAAGCGAGAATCATAACCTAGACTGGTTCCCTGTATCTTTGCTCTAAATATATACCATAGCGACAAGGCCAAGCGTATAGGCTATGGTGTAGAAACACGGTACCCGTCTAAAGATTCGCAGGCACACAATATCGACTACAAAACTACAAAAATAGCTGTTTATGAGAAAACTTATTAAGTTAATATGATATAATCAAGAAGAGGACTGACGCGAATATAAGCTTCTACAAGCAGGCTGCTACCGTTTGTAGAGTTCGGTACCGGGTACGAAGAGAATGGGCTGCGATTTCTATGCGAAGAACTCTACGCCACTAGCATTTAATTTCGTCGCGCCACCAAGCGACCAAATAAGACATAAATAGATAAAATAGTGATTGATGAGTTAACTGTGACGTCCGTCAGGCTACAGACCTCAAAACCTCCTAAGCAGGGCTTAAAAAGTTAAGAGGGTGGGTAAGGGTATTTTCGTGAAACGGGATCGGCCGTTTTTATACCTCGTGAACTGTGAATTGCAATTTAATTTGTCTGTGAACTGTGAATGGACCACTTTGCGTGAAGCGTGATTTAGCTTTTATAGTCTGTGAACTGTGAATAAGAGGTCTCTTTCCTTGTGAATCTATGCATGTCAGGCGCGGATTTAGGCCGGTTTGCACCGGTTTCCAGAAACCGGTCACAGGCCTCAAAATTCACCAGAATGCACCAAATATAGCCTAATTTTAAAAAATTCCCCGGAGGGGCATGCCCCCGGACCCCCCTAGCTGCAGAACAACATATGGAAACACTATATATATATATATATATATACACACACACACACACACACGCACGCACGCACGCACGCACGCACGCACG